AATTACTGCAATGGAAAAGCAGCTGCCCCTTTAACCAGAGCATGCAGCCCCCAGCTTCCCCTAACTCCCAGCAGGTCAGCTGCACTCCAGTATGGGTTACCTGCCTTGTCCCCATTCATACCTTAGACACTGCCCCCTGCTCTTCCATGAGAAAGTGTAGGGCTGGAGTTTCCGTGATTTGTGTAAGTGTGTGGCCCGGGTCCTGATGTGACGTGTGTTGGGGGAGGGTGGCCTCTGATCTTTTGAGTGGGGTCTTGAAAAAGAAAGAATTTAAGTATCCGGAAGGGCTGCTCTTGCTGAGGTTCTTAAACTGCCCTCTGTGTCAGAATCATCTGGGTCAAAGATTAAAAATGCAGCTTTCCAAAGCTGTCATCTTCCCAATCTGGTTTAATAGGGTTGGGTGGGCTGGGCCCGGGAATCTGCATATTAAAAAATCTTCCTTTCTTCCTCCCTCTCTACCTCCACCCCCATTCTGAAGCAGATGGTCCAGGGAACACACTTTGGGAAACACTGAGCTATTTGTAACATTTCATGTGGGATTTATATCTAGGATGGAGTAGGGAGGTGGGAACCACAGGAAAAGATCTTATCACAGGCTGTGTACAAAGAAGGCCAAAGACATGGGGGAAATGGAGTGAAGAGATTGAAGTGTGGTAGAGTCAGATAAAGTCGGGTTCCAATAGCCTGAGAAAGTTCTTTTTTTTTTTTTAATATATGTGACATATAACACTGTGCAAACTGGAGGTCTATGCATGTTGATTTCATACATTTATATAGTGTAATACGATTGCATTGAAGTCATAATTAGCACCTCAGTCACATCACATAATTGTCATTTCTTTTTAACCAAACTTGTAAAAACAGAGAGTAAAACAGGTGGTTACTAGGGAATGTGGGGTGGGGGGATAGGGCAGATGTTGTTTAAGGCTACAAATGTGCAATGAGTAGTAAAGAAGTCCTGGAGATCTCATGCACAGTATAGTGAAGACACATAACAGTATGGTGATATACTCATCAAACTTGCTAAGAGACTACACTTTAATTATTCCAACCACTAAAAAAATGTAATCCATAAAGTGTAACTGCCCCTGAACCAGTGAGCCTAGCCTTTGACAGAAAGTGAAAGAGTGATGGTGGCAGAAAAAAAATATAGGGGTGAGATTTCAAGGTGAGGGTCGGCAGTGAGTTATCAGGGCTGAAGGGTGAGACCAAAAATGTTAGTTCTATGCCTCTTGTAGGGCTTAAGGGAGTTACTCTGTAAGTTCCCTTTGAAGGATACTTTGACCGTCTTTGAGTATAAAGAATCAGAACAAAGGGGATAATATTCAATATCTTGTAATAACTTATAATAAAAAAGGATATATATATGCATGTATAACTGAATCACTATGCTAACACAACATTGTAAATCAACTATGCTTCAATTGAAAAAAAGAAGGGGGAGTCCTGGTCCTTCTACTCTCCATCCTTGTCTGACTCCCCACTCCCTTCTCTACTTTCTTTTTTCTTTCCCATCTACTTACAATTGTGGTTTGGTTTTGTTTTCCTCCTTCCCTTCTCTATTTCTTTGTCTCTCTTTGTGTCTCTCTCTGTCTCTTTCTGTTTCTCTCTCTCCTCTCTCTCTGTTTCTCTCTCTCTCCTGATACTTCCCAAAATGTAACTCACAAACAACACAAGTAGATACAGCATCAAAAAATATTCAGGAAAAAGAAAACATCCATCACCCATGCAAGGAGAATCCGGGGGAAGAAACCAAATCTCTGAAAAAAGTTTCTAAAGTAATAAGTCCTTGTCAGATTCCAACCAGCCTGGGCCTCCAAATGGAGAGGCAGAGGCAGAGGCATTTGTCTCCTGTTCCAAAGGCATGAGCAACATCCCACAGAGGAGTTCCACTCCCCCTGTGCTTTTTCCTTTGACCACTTCTGTCAAATGTGCTTTGTCATGTCATTTTAGCACCAGGCCTGGCGCAGTTCTCTGTATAGTAAAAGCTAATGAGCCGTATGGCTTCTGGCAGCATCGGGCAATATACATGCTTCATTTGGAGCAAAGTAAATCCTTGGAGTCTATAGCTGTGTGCGCTGCCTCAGGCTGTTCCTTGTGCTTCATGGGTCTGTAAATATCATAGCTGTGGTCACTGCTCAGAATTATTAATATTCCAGAGGCCTGCTTTGACCCTACCCCCTACAGAGCAGGTTTCAGCAACACACAGCTTCGCATTGGACCACATCCAATTGGAATTTATGACTGGAAGTGGCAAAAGGCTCACAGTATAGCAATGTCTCACCTTCAGCTGGCTCCGTGGCTTGGACTCTAAGGACATCATGGTATTTATTTGATTCAAATCACATTTATGGTGCTTCTGATGTGCTGAGCACTGAGTTCAGATACTAGAGATGGATCGATGACAAAGACCCAACCCCTGCCCCGAAGAAAGTGATCTGGGAAGGGGACAGGGACACGTAAATAAGGTCCCTGTATGCTAAGAGATTTCACGTCTAGCCCTTGGCAGCTTTTGGACAAAAGCTGCCCATTCTTCCATTTGCATCACTTGAACTTATTGATGCTCAAGTGTGGTCCTCCGACAGCAACAGCACCTCGGAGCTTGTTAGAAATGCAGCATCTCAGGCCCTACCCCAGACTGGATCAGATGATAGTTTGAGATGCCCTAATCTAAATCAGGCCTTTCCGAACCTGGATGGGTTCAAAAATCACCTGGTGCTTCCATATTTAAGTGCTGAGCCTCATCCTTAGAAATTCTGACACATCAGATCTGATGTAGAGCTGGCGATTTCTTTCCAAGCCCTGCAGGTACTTATGATACAGCTGGTCTGTGGACTAGCATTTGGGAACTAGCCCCTAACCCTATGGTTCTCAAACTTGTTCGAATATTAGAATCACTTGAGGGGCTTTTAAAAGTCTTGATGCCCAGCCTATAGTCTGAACAGTTAAATCATAGACTGCAGGCATGGGGCTGAAGCAGGAGCAACTTTTTTCCAGTTTTATTGAGAAATAATTAACATACATCACTGTATAAGCTGAAGGCACGCAGCAGCATGGTTTGATTTACATATACTGCAAAATGATTGTCACAATAGGTTCAGCAAACATCCACCTTCTCATATAGGTACCATAAAAAGAATAGAAAGAAACAAAAAAAGGGAAAAAGAATTTTGCTTGAGTGAGAACTCACAGAATTTGCTCTCTTAATTTTCCTGTATCTCATACAGCAGTGTTACGTATAGTCACCACGCTGTACAGTACATCCCTAGTACTTACTTCTCTTGTAACTAAAAGTTTGCGCCTTTTGACCACCTTCTTCCAACTTCCTCTCCTCCTACCTTCTGTATCTGGTAATCTCTTTTTCTATGAGTTTGGGTTTTCTTTTCTTCCTTCCTTCCTTTCTTTCTTTTTTAGATTTCTCATACAAGTAAAATCATACAGTATTTGTCTTTCTCCATCTGACTTATATCACTTAGCATAATGCCTTCAATGTTTATCCATGTTGTTGGAACTGATATGATGTCACTTTTATGGCTAAATAATATTCCACTAAATATATACCACAACTTCTTTATCCATTCATCCATCAATGGACACTTAGGTCATTTCCATGTCTTAGCTACTGTGAATAATGGCAGAAGTCATTTTAAAGCTCCTCCAGGTGACTCTCATGTGCAGCTAAGGTTAAAGTCCACTGCTCTAAACCAGTGATGCAAAAATTTTAACTTGTATGAGTACCACCCAACACACAGTCCCACTGGGTCAGCAGAACTCCAGTGTTTCCTATTTGAAAAAGAGGTGGAACTAGGGCCAAAACCCAACTTTCCCAGCCCCTAACCCAGGATATTTGCCACCTGCAAAACTGATGAGAAGTATAGTGAGGGCTACATTGTGACTACCTGGATCCCTAGTGTGGGGCTAGTTGAGGAAGCTCAGATCTATAGCTCAATAGACAGTCCTTCTGGTCTTAGCTTGGAGACACATTTCAATGGCTAATTCCTTGTCTTGTTCTCCAAGGTAGAGCCTGCCCAGAGCCTCAGATCTCCCAACACAGAGGTGTTTTTCTCAGCACACTGGGCTGTAAACATACTGGTTTTCTTTCATTTTCTCAAGTGTATCCTTTTCTTTCTACCTCAGGGCCTTTGCACAAGCTGTTCCCTCTGCCAGAAATGTTCACTCTCCTGCCCTCTCTCCAGTTACTCCTTCATGAAAGTCTTTCCTGATCTTCCACATGAGATCAAATTCCCCTATTGTATACTTGTGTAGCAACTTGTAACTTTCCTTCATCATCCTTATCACAGTTTTAAATTATGTACTATGCTAATATTTGAATAATTTCTCTAAACAATTCCAATTAAGAGAGAAACCGCATCTCTTTTACTTAGAACTGTATCCCAGCTACTTGCATTGTGCCTGGAACATAGTAGTAGGGATTCAATGAATTCTCAAGTATCCATGCACCACTCATCCCGCAGTAGAGTCCCAGGTCCTTTACATATTCTCCCCGCCCCACCCAAGATCATCACCATTTGCCTCTAACACACAGGCATCATTCTCACGCCATTTGCCAAGATGATCATTTTAGCTTCTGTTAATCTTCCAGGCATATACCACCTCCTTTTTGAATCATCACGCACTCCCCAATTCTAGACTTGGTCAGTCTACCTGAGGTCCCTCCTTCATGTTTGGACATTAGTATTAGCATCCCGCCTCCAACACCCCAAGTGCTCTGAGCCTCCATGGACCTTTCTTGTTGCTGCCACTCTGACACTGGCCTGTCTGCCCACCAGGGATTCTGTCTTCATCGCAGTATTAAGTAGGAAATATTGTTATCAATGTTCTAAGATATCTTGTGCTCCTTATGTATAAAATGAGAATAACAGAATTTACCTCAAAGGGTTGACAGAGAATAAAATGATATATTCTGCATCCACAATATACTGCCCAGTCAATAAATATTTAGAATTTTTATTACTACTAATAACTTCAAAACTCCCACTGGTGCTCACTTCGGCAGCACTATACACTAAAGTTGGAAGGATACAGAGAAGATTAGCACGGCCCCTGCACAAGGATGACATGCAAATTTGTGAAGTATTACATATTTTTAATAAATAAGTCCCACTGGACCCCATGAAATGTTTTAGTGCTGCAGTTTGTACTTATTGAATAAGTTGATGGGACACTAACATGGATTTGATAATAATTTTAAATGAGTTCACATTTTACTGGTTGTGACAGCAGTAAATCCACTAGTACATCTAGGACTGGAAAATAAGGCTTATTTCCATTTTCAGAAAATGTGTGACATGTCTAAGGATTTAAGGGTCCTTTGCAACAATTCCATGCCCTATGACTCCCACACTGGGTTCTCAGGCTGTAAACTGAAGTACACACTTCGGGAAACGTTACACATACAGTTTCTCCTCTCTTATTTCATTTTTCCTTTAAGTATGCTCTGTCAGACAAGCTGGAATACTAGCCTTTTCATCAGAAGTTGCTGCTGGTTAGCCATATGAGGTCAGGACTTTCAGCCCATCTATTCTGGAACAAAGAATTTGAAGGAGGTCAGGGCTAAGCTTTGGTAACTTAGGAGTAATGAAAGGGAATCTCACTGTGGCTTCAATCCCACCAGAGATGGTATGGACAAACTGGAAAGGAAAGTAACATATGCATTTATTTTTTTTTTCAGTCAACAAATCTTTATTGAACATCCTACTATGTGTCGGGAACTGAATTTGGCACTAAGGACTTCCTGGCAGTGTGACCTGAGGCAAGTTAATTAATTTTCCCACTCTCAGATTGTTGTCTGTAAAATGGAGACAGTAATAGGGCTGAAATAGGTGTTAACTAAGATAATGTGAACTGAGAGTGACACATGGTCAGTGAATGATGCAAGGAGTGTTCACTGCTGCTGCTGCTGCTCATGTTGAACCAGGTGGATGCAGTGTTGCCATCGTGACATTCTGAGTCAAGTGGGACACAGAGAAAAGTACACAGAAAATTACAACAGTAATGGATAGGAGGAGTAGAGGGGGTGCTTTGAGCACGTAGGAGAGGCACCTAATTCAGACTTCCTAGAGGAAAGGAGATTTAAGGCTTAATCCCTGAGACATCAAGGCTGAGTAGTAGTGTTAAAGAAAAAATTATTCTTGTGCTTGTTAAAGATAGTAAGGAAGACTTTCTTCAAGAGGGACTATTGTGATGCCCATTGGCACAGGGGAGAGAGCTCAGGGTCAACTCTACCAGTGGAGTGGGGAGTTATAGCCCAGAAGTAGGGCAGGCAAGGTGAGGGGTTGGTGGGTGGAAAATCACTAAGAGTGTAGCATTATTCTTGCCAAACTGACCAAACACGATTCTTGATGAGGGCAGACCATGGGGATCAGATATTACCTGGAATGGTGGGTGGAGGGTGAGGAGTGTGATCAGATACTGAGGGTAATCAAATATCAAAGGTGAGGGATTCTCACTAAATCAACTTGAGAGAATTCTTGCTAAAACTGGACTTTATAAGAGAGAGACAGAAGTTCATGGTTGAGTCTAGTTAAGCACAGGGCTCAGAGGAGACGTGGTTTGGTCAAGGAGAGAATCTCTGTGAGTAGCCCAAGTGAAGAGGGTCCAGGTAGAAACACTATCTCATGGGAAAGGCTCAAGGCTAACAGAACACATTCTCTCCACTCCCACAAGGAACAGCCCATTCCTAGAGAAGGATTAACTTTTGCTGCACACTGGAATCACCCAGGGATCTTTAAAATATACCAATGCTTAGATCCCACCCCCAGGGATTCTGAACTAATTGGGATGGTAGGCAGCCTGAGTTCTGGGGTTTTTTGCTTGTTTGTTTTCCAGACTTATTAAGATATAATTGTGTTCCAAATACCACTTATTGAAGGGACTATATTTTAACCATTGAGTATTCTTGGCTCCCTTGTCAAATACTAGTTGACCATATATTCATGGATTTACTTCTGGTCTCTCGATTCTGTTCCAATGGTCTTTGTATCCGTTTGTATGTCAGTACTACACTGTTTTGAATATTAGCTTCATAATATAATTTGAAATCAGGAAGTGTGATGCCTACAGCTTTGTACAATCTCAAGATGGCTTTGTGGGAATTATCCTTAGGAGGCAAGGATGGTCCAAAATACACAAATCAATAAATGCGATAGACTACATTAATAGAATGAAAAGTAAAAATTGTATAATTATCTTAATAGGTGCAGAAAAAGCATTCGACAAAACTCAACATCCTTTCATGATAAAGACTCACAACAAATTTGGTATAGAAGAAACATACTTCAATATAATAAAAGCCATATATGACAAGCCCACAACTAACATCATACTTAATGGCGAAAAGCTGAAGGCTCTCAATCTAAGAGCAGGAGCAAGACGCAGATACCCACTTTTACCACTCTTATTCGACATAGTACTGGAAATCCTAGCCAGAGCAATCAGGAAAGAAAGACAAAAAAAAGAAAAAGAAAAAGAAAAAGATGTCCATTGGGAAATAAGAAGTAAAACTGTCCCTCTTTCCAGATGACATGATCTTGTATACAGAAAACTTTAAAGACCCCACCAAAAAATGTTAGTACTAAAAAATGAATTCAAAGTTTCAGGATTCAAAATTAAAATACAAAAATCAGTTGTGTTTCTATACACTAATAACAAACTATCTGAAAAAGAAATAAAGAAAACAATCCCATGTATAATAGTGTTGAAATCAATAAAATAAGAATAACTTTAACCAAGGAAGTGAAAGATCTACACACCAAAACTATAAGACAGAGATGAAAGTAATTGAAGAAGAGAAATATAAATGGAAAGATATCCTATGTTCACGCATCAGAAGAGTTAATATTATTAAAATGTCTATATTACTCATATTATGAAATTACCCATATTACCCACTGAAATCTCTATCAAAATTCTGGTGGCATTTTTCACAGAAATAGAAAATACAATCCTAAAATTTGTATAACCACAGAAGACCCTGAATAGCTCTGGGGTGTTTAAAAACTCCCCATGATCCTACTGTGCAGTCAGGACTGTGAACCACTAGGTCTTTTTTCATAGCTATGATGGGCCCTTTGCCCCTAGTATATCAAGCTCTTATCAACTCAACTCTCATCACCTCCAGGGATACAGAATTACAGTCAACCCTCCGTATTCACAGGTTCCACTTCCTCAGACTCAACCAACCATAAATGGAAGATGTTCAGGGGAAAAAAATTCCAGAGAATTACAAAAACCAAAACTTGAATTTGCACACACTGGCAACTATTTACATAGCATTTAGATTGCATGAGGTATTATAAGTAATCTAGAGATGGTTTAAAGTATATGGGAGGATGTCCGTAGGTTATCTGCAAATACTGTCCCATTTTATATAAGGGACTTGAGTAACTACGGATTTTGTTATTAGCAGGAGGGTGTTCTGGAATCAATTTCCCTGCAATACTAAGGGACGACTGTATTATCTCTTGTGAAGCCAACGCTAATTATACTGAAGTAGCGGAGCACATGCCTCTCAGACTTTAGTGCGTAGGAATCACCTCGTCATTGTGTTAAAATGCAGATTTTGATTCAGTAGGTCTGGAATGGGGCCTGAGAGTCTAAATTTCTAAAAAGCTTCCAGATGTTGATGCTACTGGACCTCAGACTGGAACTTGAGTAGCAAGGACCTACATCTAAAACCTTTCCAGTATTTTGAAATTTGAAATAACATATTTCTGAATTACATAGAAAAGCACACCAGAAATGCATACTCCGTAAAGACAACGGAGTATGGTATGACTATCCCTGTTCAAATGCTGTGCTTTATTTTACAGAGGCCAGTTATTAGTAAGTTGGCTGTAAAATGAATAGCTATTCAACAAACTAGGTTTGGGCTATTGGTATTCATTAGAAAGGTAGACACATACACTTTCAGAGAACAGCTCCTTATGGAATGTCTTGAAAAGTACTGAGGAGGAAGAGGTCACAGAGGCAGGAACAGAGAGACCAATATAGCAAAGTTATTATTATAAGTTTTATCTCTGGATTCAGACTCCCTGGGCTAAAAATCTACCATTTTTCTAGCTGTGTATTCTGGGACCAGGTAGTAAACCTCTCTGTGCTTCAGTTTCTTTACTTATGAAATAAAGAGAATAACCTGTTTTCTTGAGCTGTTGTGATGATTATCAAAATAAATATTTGCAAGGAGCCGAGAAGAGTGTTCTCTGGCACATACTATATGATCACTAAAAGCCAGCCATGATTACCTGGCTCACCTTGGGTTGTATTCCCACTTTGTAAAGTGGGGACTGTGATTTTTGTGAGTTCATTGCTTGTTTTGCATCTTTGGGACAGCAGTCTGCCCTAACTCCCCTGTTTGTGGCTACTCCGCTGTCTCTCCTATGTGTGGATCCTTCAACTCTTTGCCACATAGCTCCTCATTCAGCTACTACTATGTGCCAATCACTGTGCTAAGCACCAGGCTACAAAAGACACACCTCTGACCTCAAGAAACTCAGGCAGGGAAAGTGAAACGACAACGAGAATCATGATGGTTACTCGAGATTAGAGGTATCAGACCGGAATGGACAGAAGGCTGGAGGATCACAGAACAGTTAGTCCTTCTACTTTATTTAACGAGTGCCTTTGGCTTTCAAATTCAGAACTGTAACAGTGTTCTATTATAAACAGTTTCCATTTGACCTATACACTCTTCTTATTTTCAGTTTGGGGTTATGTAAAATTAAGCAATATCAAATTTTATTAATATCGCACCATAGAAGTCATAACGTTTTCAGTCCACTGAAAATGACATGTAAAATCCACTGTGAGAACATAATGCTATTTTCTCACTGCC